AAATAGAGAACTCTTGTTCAGTTGTTTTTGTTGTTGTTGCCGTTGGTCGTGCCATGTTGATTTGTGTGCTTGGCTCGGCTCTTCGACCGACCGAACGACCGACTGAACGACCGACTGAACGACCAACTGCCTGCCTGGCCGAACGCTACCCTCACTATAAGCGTCTGCGCCAGTTATTCGGTATTCTGCTGCTGTCGCTGCTGCCTGCGCTATGTCTCTTCCTCTTCCATTTCAGCTTCATCTTCTTGTTCACACACACATACATACATACATGCCCACTGGTAGACAGACAACTACGCAAACAACACCAAGACAATGCGCAGTAGATAACAACTGGCTCGCCCCTTCCTTCACTTCAGTCAGATACATACTTATGTATCCATGGGTTACGTATATACATACATACATATATATGTATATACACACATTTGTACATATGTACTAATGTATCTATGGCAACACAGCGTGTGATATATAAGCGCTCTCTGCTTGTGTGTGTGCGTGTGTGTGCAGACAGCTGCTTTGTGTGTCAAATTGTAGCAAAAATAAAAAAAAGCAAGAAAGAAGAATGCTTTTTTGATTATTTTTTGTGTGCCGAGTGCAAGGAGCACGGCCACCCACTAGCGCATTTTGCACTCCCCGATGCTCAACTGGCTGGGCTGTGTGTAAGTGTTTGAGTGAGTGCAGTTTGACTTATGAATTTAATTTATGCACCTACACACGCATTTGAGCATGCATACATTTGTGTAAGTGCATATTTTGCGCTGGGTTATTTCGGATTGTTTTATAAAATTGCACTAATCTGATACTGTAAAATCCAATTAATCCAATTAGCAAGCGATGATTATGATAATCTTAACGAGCACATGTTTTTTCTACTGAATTTACAAAAATGAGAACATTTCAACTGGCTTAAAAGCTTTTTCCAGGGAAACGTATGGATAGAAAATTCTAGACATATGTCCCTGTATGCCGTGCAGCTATTGATTGTTTTTCCTTTAGCTGTTGAAAGGATAATCCACTGGACCAATTAGTTTTCCCAAAAAAATCCGTTAAATATCAATGAATTCTGTTTGACGCAGTCAATTCACCACTGGGTAGCTGGTTTCTTGTCGTTCCCTTTCTCTCTCTCTCTGCTTTTACCTATCTCTTTTCGCTATTTCGTTGTTGTTTGTGTGCGCTGCGCAAAAACTTCGTTGCGCTCTCTGACGTCGCGTCAGTCGCAGCGACCGTCATACTTGCTAGCTGTTTGTATTTGGGTGTCTATTGAAGCACAGTGTGTCATGAGCATATGCTCAATAAATTGATTATAAAATAGGTGAGATTAAGTTACCCTAATTATATTTGTATTCATGCATGAAGGGAAATAAACATTTAAGTTAGATCTTTTTATTATAATTATTGTTATGTTATTCTCTCTTCATGTTCGTACAAATAAGCAACGAGTTGAAACCACTGTGCGTCGCAGCCTCGTTACGTTTTGCCGTTGGCAGCGCAGTAGCAGCGCAATGCTTTGTTATGCTGCCTGCAGAAAAGCAACGTTGCCATACTTCAGTTAGCTTGTCCGCTACGTTCATGTTCACGTTTCGTTGACTGCCAATGTGTGTGCGTGTATTACGTATGTGTGTGTGCGTGTGTGCACATATATATATATATATATATATATGTCTCTGTGTGTGTTTCTGTGCGTGTGCTTTATATCAGAAATTTCCATTTAATTTTTTTTTAGGTTTCTTTTTCGTTTTGCGACGTTGTTGTAGCTGTAGCCGTTTTGTGTGCATGCATTTGTGTGCGTTGATATATAATTTGTACACAAATGTACATAAATACAACATACACATACGTAGACACATACATATGTGTGTGTGTTGTGTATTTGTATGTATGCATGTCGTTTTATACGTATGTATGTATGTTTGCATGTGGAAATGTAGCTTTTGCTGTTGTGTGTTTGTAGTTACACTTTCAGCTGCCAATTTGATTCCATGCCTTTTTTTTTAGAGCAGCGCATACGTCACACATGTGCCAATGCAGTGGATGGGAAGGGGGTGGGTGCTTGTGTGTGTACGCAACTCTTCAACTCCAGCATGCTGCATAGGCTTTTGCAAATTGACAGCAAATCTCTGCTGAGGGTTGTTTTGGCTGCTGCTGTCGATTTTTTTCTTTCTTTTTTGTCACTGCATGTGTATGTGTGTGTGTGTTTCCGTCGCATTCGCATCCACAGGTGTCGCAGTTGGGTTTTGCCAAACGTCAAGTTCAGCTTTAAAAAAAAAAAAAAATACTTCACACGTCTGTGCAAATTATTTCGTCGTCAATCTGACAAAAAGTTAACCTCAAAATGTTGCGCGCCTGTTGAGCGTGACTCAGTTGCTGGCAGCAACGTCGGCGTTGACGTCAACAACGGCGCCAGCGTGCTGACAAATTTTTTTGTTTAAACAAATGCAACAATTGCGCTTAATGAAAAACTTATGCGAGTGTGAGGAGCTTTCGTTTTTGTTTATAGTTTTGTATTTGCCTGCGTGTGTTTAAGTGTATGTATGTATTGTATGTTCATATGTGTATGTGTGTGTGCACTCAAACAAACTTTGCTCCCTACACTTGACCTTGTTTTGCCATTTTCATTTTGTACCATGCACCCCACACACTAACACACACACGCTTATAGACGGACTGTGCTGATTGTGGTTGATTGCGGCCTGGCTAGAGACCGAGAGAGAGAGATGGAGAGAGAGAGAGAGAGACAGATAGAGAGAGCGGGGTGTGTTTCAGCATCGACAACTTTGTATGACAAAGCAAAAGGCAAGACAAGTGCCGAAGCAACGAAGTAATTTGCCTAAAATTGTGCGCCGGCTTAAATGCCGGCTACAACAACCAGTACAACAACAGCAGCAAAGTAGGAACGAGCGAAAAAGAAACCAGAAACACAAACACAGCAGCACCAGCAACAACAACAACAACAACAACAACAACGGCGAACGTCGCAAAAAGAATCGGAATTAGTGAAGGGCGAAGATGTGGAAAGACGTAGACGCAGACAACGGCAATAAAAATGCAGAGCAAGGCGAAATGAACACAGGAAGGACAGGGCAACAAAGTTATTTTAATGACCTGCTGCTTTTGCTTGTAGAGGGACGTGGTGGTGGAGAGAGTGATAAGGAAGGGTGGGAAGGGGTGGAGAACGGGGGTTACACATAGGACAAAGTCAAACGGCGACGGACAAAGCCGCAACAGTAAAACTGCCAAGCAATGGGAAATTAAAGACCATGACAACAATAAAGCAACAACGAAAACAGCAGCAGCGTATGGCGAAAAAGTCAAAAAGAGAATTGCTAATGCCAAATAAAAACAACAACCACAGCACACTTAACACACACATACACACACAACAATGGGAATGGCATGTGGGCAAAAGAATAAGGAAAGTGACCAAAAAACAATAATAAAACCAAAACGCAAGCAAGGCAACAAACAAAGAATTGCAAAAAAATCAACAAAAAATAAAATGCCTGAAATTGCTGAATAACTGTAAGATAGGGGGAGACAATAAAGAAATAATACCAACTGCAACTGTGTATAGAATATTATCGATAACTTAAAGAGTAGCTGTTTTCCTTGTGGAGTTGCAAAAATGATATTAGACGATTTTCTTTTTAAATACATATCATACATATTTTAATACTTTAACAGATGTACATACATATATAGTATATATAGTGTTTGCATACATACATACATGTTAATATGTACAACGATATGTGTATGTATAACGATATCGAAAATTTTTCACAAAAACTTCGAACTCGATATTATGATAATATATTATAAATTTAAGAGACACTACTACTAAAATAACATAATTAAGAAAATCTCACTTCTCTGGGGGTTTTTAAATTTTAAATGCAGCGTGATTTTGCGTGTTGTCTAGCGGTGTGTGAGATTTGAGCTCAAGCTGACTCAGATTCCGATTCTGATGACTATCCCAATACCAAGGCAGCTGCCCTATACACAAACATTCACACACACACACATGCACATGCACAGACTAGTATGTAAGTGTAGGGGCCTCAGGGGCTAAAGTTAAGAGAGTCTCGGCATAACGGACCCCAACGGCAATGGCAGCAAATTAAAGTTATTAAAGCAAAGAAACAACAAAGCAAAAAATAAAAATAAAACAAAATAAAATAAAAGGAAAACAAAAAAGCAAGCGAAATTTCTTGCACAGCGAGTCAGGCAGAGCAGCAGCGGCGAGTTGAGACTGTGCCAATGCACAGCGACATGGAACAAGAACAAGAACAAGAATAACAACAACAAACCCATCAGCAGCATTAGCAGCAGCAGCAGCAGCATAAGCAGAAGAAGAATAACAAGCCAAACGCGATATGGTTAAGTCGGTGGTTGTTGTTGTTGTTGTTTCTGTTCGTGCTTTGGGTAAGAGGTCGGGCATCAGCAGCAGCAGAGAGTGCGACAGAGAAGGCAATCCATTGCCTACTGGCAAAATCTACAATGTATAAAACCAGTTTGCGGACTATACGGTTCTTTTTTCTTTCATTTTGCTTGAACGCTCGGGTCGCGTCCGGCGACAAAAATGTCGTGTTCGATATTACAGAATTTATACAAAATGATAAACTGTCAAAAAAAAAAAACTTTCTCATAGTGCGTCATAAGTATTCTTAAATCAGATTTTGTCGAGAACAATTCAATCAAATTTAAAAAAAAAAAACAATTTAGTTTGTATAGAGTTCCATAAAGTTAATACTGATAGCGAATACTTGTGTAGGTTCGACGCAATATTCATAATAAAAACATACAAAATTACATATTTTTTATTTCCATTACTAAAATGATAATGGAATAAAATAAAACGGCTCGGAAGTTTTCCAACTTATCAAAGGAATATATGTATGTACATATATATTACGCTCAGAAACCAAGCAAAACTAAATTGCTGACAAGTATTTAAATCAGACTATATATACATGTATATATATTAAATAAAAAAGGCGTGTAAGCGTAGCATCAGTGTTTTTTCTCCAAATTATGTATTTGTAATGCTGTTAAGTGTAAGTAGATCTGTAGCTTAAAGCTAATCTATATATAATTTTGGAGGTTTATTTGTTGCGTGTGGATTTGGCAGGCAAATTGTTGCGACATTGTTTGTGACAATTTTGCTGGCTGGACATAGTCGGAGCATTGCTTTTGCTTTTATTCTGTCGTCGCTCTAATTGGCGCTTTACAGCAAAAGCCAGTGTCACACACACACACACACACACGCACAGTCAACCCCCTTCCGTCAGTATGCTGAACAATAATTTGTTGCTTGTTGTTGTTTTGGCTTTATATGGCATAGACATCACCCACATCGCCGTTGGGCAAAAAGCGGGCGGAGAGCGATAGACGATTCATGCGCCCAAACACGAGCACCTCGCTGATGATGCGCTCAGCGAAGAGCCGCTGATCGGGGCGCATATTGCGGAAATGTGCCGCCATCCGTTTGCCAATCAAATCGCATTCGCTCTCCGTTTGCTCCGATTGCAGCGCCGACTGCTGTTCCATTAGCATCATCTGGCGCCGTCGCTTCTTGCCAGCTGCGGCAATAGCGCTGCTCCTGCTGCTGCTGTTATTGTTGTTGTTGTCTTCATCGATATCGATGTCGATGTCGACGTCGCCGTCGCCGTCATTAGTGCTGCTGCGTCGACGTCGTCGTTGCATTTGCGGCAATGCAATACTGCGACGCAAAGATGTTGACTGCGCCTGCAGCTGCTGCTGCTGTTGTCCCGATTGATAAGGATGCAAACGTGATTGTTTTCCGGCACTGATTCTGCTGCTGCTGCTGTTGTTGTTGTTGTTGTTGTTGTTGTGATTGTTGGAGGTGGAATGTTGTTGCTGATATTTGCTTTCCATTTTCAGATCGAGTTTGTGTCGCGTTTCGTTTACAGTTTCGTACTCCACTTCACCATCCAGTCCAGCGTCGTCAGCATCTGCATCTGCCACGCCTTCCACATCGCCATCGCCCTCGCTGACCAGCATATCATCGCCGGGCTGAAAGAGTTTCGTGAAAAGCTCCTCGTCCTGCAATGAATGAACCATGATAATGTGCCCCGAAATCGGTGTTTAGTAATCGACTATTAGATACTCTTTTTCATGCTTCATCTGACTTTAGCTGACAAGTCGATACCCTGTTTTTTTTGTGTTTAAAGCTTTACAAAATTGAACAATAATTATTAAAAGATACGATTTTGTTTGCTTCTTTCTTTCGTTTAATATTCTATGATTTTGCAGGGTATCATTTGCCCCAGGCTGTAGCAAAGGAGAGTCGTGTCTAGCCTATAATTGACGACTTCTACAGGGTATATAAATATGATACTAATACCTCATAAGCCATATAGACCAGATAATATAGCTATGGCTATCTATATAGTGGCAATACACTGTAAAAAATTAGGGGGGGAGGAGGAGAAACACTTACTGGTGTCGGCACTCCCGGGGACACCTCGGCCACATCCTGATTATCGGCTTGCTTAAAATACGCATGTTGTTCTTGTTGCGGTTCACGTGCAACGTGCAACGGTTCGATCAATGTTTGCGCCTCCCCCGTCTCCAGATCGTAGAGAAACTCCAGCTCATTGAAATACCAAAGCGACGGCCGATACTCATCGAGCCCCCCTCGCAACGCCGACTTATTGTCGAGCACCTTGCGCAACTCGCGCCGATAGGAGGTGCGCAGATTGTTAATCTTCCGCTTGAGCATATGGATGTTGGCAGAGGGATCAAAGGTGCGCATGTGCTTCAGCAGCAGCTCGTACGATTGGGTCTTCAGCTTGCGATTGCGATAGTCTTTCGATGTGGTTAGCCACAGTTCGGGCATGGAGCGATATAGGCGAAAGAAATCTTTCCAGAATGTTGTGTTGCGCACATTATGCGATTCCATGGCAAACGGTTAAACGCAACTGATGGCGTCGTCCAACGCGGTCGTACGACAAAACGAACATACAAAAATTACCATCAAACCGCACAAGTCGTCCAACACGCAACACGAACCCCAAACAACAACCCTCTACATATATATATATATATCATGTGTATCATTCTCGCTCTGTCTCTCGTTCTTTCTCTCTCTCTCATACTTACATGCATGCTCGCTTCGTCGAGACTGTCGTCCAGGCTCTGTCTCTCATGTTTGATGCGCGACGACGTCGGCGTTGGCGTCGGCGGTGTGGTTGCTATTAGATTTAAATTGAGCACCGGTTTGATAAAGTCCATCATGTGAAACCACCAAAGACGCGGCTCGTATGAATCGTAGGATGCTTGAATTTTCTTAATCTCACGTCGATAGCAGCAGCGCAGCGAGTTGATTTTCCTTTTTACATCCTGAATGCTCGCTTCGGGATTGACGCGTCTCAATATTTTCAATAGCTGCTGATAGCCGGCCGCCTTTTTCTTTTTCGATAGATATGCCATCGATGAGCTGTCCCAGAGCGGTGTAAAATGGCGATAACAGCTTATGAACTCTTCCATTACATCCTTGTCATCATACAAATGTGGCATTGTCGTCATTTCGCCCCTCTTTCTACTGCAGTGGCTTCGCATCAACTGAAAAATGAATGCGACTGATGGCAGGCAGAGAGAGAGAGAATGTCATGCAAACGGCAACGTGTATGAGCGACCAACACAACAGTCATACATATGTTGCTGTTGGTGTTGCTGTTGTTGCTTCTGCTGTTTGCCTTTTAAAGCAAGCTTAGCGCGCACTGTCGTCTATTCTGATTCTTCTTCTACTTCTTCTTTTTCCTACTTCGTCTTCTTCTTGCTGTTTGCTGCTTGCTGCTTGCTATTTGTTGTTTGCTTTTACCATTTGCGTTTTTATTTATTCATGTTATGTTATAAACACAGCCAACGTCCGCTGTCGACGCTGACGTCGCTGTAGCGTTCGCCGTCGCACAAGTGTATGGGCGCTGGCGCGGGCAACGTTGCCAAACTTCACCACAGTTCAGTTCGAACATGTGCTTGTCAAATGAAAACTGGCAACGTTGCGGCGCTTAGAAATGTTGCGTGACAGCAATGAGGCCACCGCCGGCCGGCCGTCTATGTTGCACAAACCGCAACAACACTAACAACAACAACAGCGACAGCAACAACAACAACAAAAATCAGCCTTATAATAACAACAATAGCAATAACAAACAATATTAATAGACATGAAACATTAGCGCGCGCACACAGAAAGAAGCAGGCGAGCAATACACATACACATGCACACATACACTCATACACTCATACACCCATACTTGCATGCACATTTGCAGTCGAACATCGAACATCCGCGGCTGCTGCAGCCCCGACTGCAGGTTGTGCGACGCTGCCTTGCTTCAGTTGTGTTTCACTTTCACTGCAAAATTCGCAACAAAAAAAAATAAAAAAAACAGACGAGGATGAGACAAAACAACAAAAGAGATTTGACAGTCAGCGTGAGTCAAAGTCGTATGCAACAAATAGCTACAACATTTTATTAAACAGAGGCGGACCGAATTTAATGTTATTTTATGAATATTGCAACAATTTGCAAAGGAGTCAAAGTTCGCTAATTTACGTATCATTTTTTGTATTTATTGTATTTTTTTTTGTTAGGTTAGGTTAGGTTATATCGGCTGTCAGCCCGATGGGCTGACACACTTAGGCCATATTTGCCCCGTTGTGATATCGAATGGGATCCAGGGATTTTCTCCTGCCGTCGTGCCTCCAAAGCATTCTAACAAGTCAAACATTTGCCCAGCCAGATGCGTTAATGAATTTCGCTATCTTGGCCGGTCTCATATGTCGGAGCTCCGATAAACCAGTTAGGGAGTAGTTTCCCAGGATTGCCAGCATTTTCCTGGCAAGTGCTGGGCAGAGGCAGAAGAAATGTTCCGGAGATTCCACCTCTTCCTCCTCTTTACAGCTTCTGCAAAAGTCATTGTATGGCACCTGGTGTCTGTTGGCATGCATGCCGACCAGCCAGTGCCCCGTCAGAGCCCGGATCACTGCAGAACTGTTAGTCCGACTTAGATTGTACAGCTCTTTGCTGCACTTAGAGTTGATGATTGGCCATGTCTGGTGTGCTATGCGGGCACAGGTGGCATTTTGCCCTTCGGACCTGTTGATGGATTTAATTGCTGCCTGACTGTCAATAAATATATATTTATATTGCCAGGGCCAACAAGAGAAGGGACTTTCTAATTTCTTGTAATAAGAACAAGCTCCGTTTTATTTGGGTTTACCCCTAATCCACTGTCTTGTGCCCAGCATAACAGTATTTTTAGTTTACTAGTCATGAAGTCACAGAGAGCTTGTGGGTATTCCCCTGAAAATTACTGCAACGTCATCTGCGTATGCAACCGTCTGGCAGCCGCTCCCTCCATGTCCCGCAGCAATTTGTTAATTGCTATGTTCCATAGTAGGGGTGACAGGACGCCTCCTTGTGGCGTACCTCTGCTTCCGAACCTGGAGAGAGTTGACGACTCTAGTGTGGATATCACAGTCCTGCAAGTAAGCAATTGACTGATCAATCCCATCAGACCGGTGACAATCCCCTGGCTCAGCAGAGCTCCAGCTATGGCTGCCGGAGTGACGTTGTTAAAGGCGCCCTCAATGTCGAGGAACGCTATTAGGGTGTACTCCTTATGGAGTAAGGATTTCTCTGTAATAGAGATCAGTATCTGTGGATCTGCCCTTCCTGTAGGCATGTTGGGACTCCAACATAAGCCTGGGTTTTTTTTTTGTTAGGCAACTATAATTGCGATACTTGAAATGTGTTAATAAAATCGCAATGTTTTTAATGAATTGTAATTGAAGGCATGCCTAATATTTCGTCGCGACAGTGTTGGTATCGAACATGCTGGCTTGACGCCGCTTGGCCACACGGTCGTAATGCATCCAGCAGCGAACCTTAGCCAAACACTGATTGAGCAAACGGTTTGAGTTTGATGATGCTTGTGCGGGTTGCGTTGCGTTGTTCGAAGTTCGGTCGTTCCCGAATCGAGTGGTGACAGTACTCCGGTACAACATCAGCAGCAGCAGCAGCAGCAGCGTCGCCGTCGTCGTCGTTGTAGATGTTGTAGATGTATCGTTGAACTCCAAAAAAGTCGGTGTGCAGCGCGTGCAGATCATGTGAAAATTTCTCGGCGCTTGCAGATACGTTGCGAATTTATTTATAACAATTTCACGATAATTATGAGAATCGTCGCTATAAAACAAAACCAACAATAAGGTAAATGTGCAACGCAGTAAAATAGCCAAACAATGAAAATAATATTCGAAGCAGAGTCCGCCCCTTAACAAATCCAAAATGAAGTAAAATTCAAATGAAATAAAATAAAATAAAATAAAAGCAAAAAAAAAAAAAAAAAATTAAATAAAATAAAATCAAATCAAATAAAATTGTTCGCTTCAATGTGCCGCTGTGTGTGTCTACATATAACTGTATACCACCTATATGTATATATAATTGTATATATGTATATACATATAATGTATTTGTATGTGTGTGTGTGTGTGTGTGCATATATTTTTATAGCTGTGTCTGCATGTACGTACATCCATACGTGTGTAAATGTGTGTGTAAAGACGAAATGGATAAAAAGAAGGAAAAAAAACACATTGGAAAATTGCGTTGAGCAACTGCCCCACGCTTCGTTGTTGTTACATAGGCAATGTACATATACATATATATATATTTATATATATATACTTGTGTGTGTGTTTGTGTGTTATGCATATATAATTTTTTTTTTCTGTTGCCTAAATGCATTGCTGATCTATGCGCGAATATCAAAGTGAAAAGAGGCGCATATAAAAACGCAGCGCAAATTGTTGGAATTTGTATCTGTGTGTGTTTCTGTGTCTCGCTCTTTCATACACACTTGCTGTGTGGTAGTGTGTTCTTTTCTGTGCTTGTGCCTTGTATGTGTGCGTGTCGTTCTCTGTTCTGCTGCTGCTGACGTCGTCGTCTGCGTTCCAATTCTACTTTTTTTCTTTTCTTTTTTTTTTTTCAATTTTTGCTTTGCTTTTTTGTGTGCTTTTTTAAAGTGGCATAGATTATTTTTTTTTATTTTTATATAATAAATTGAAATTGTTTTTTATGCACAGCTGGAGCAGTTGAACGGCATAGACCCATGCAAATATGTATATATATATATAGACATAAATAATATAAACATATAAGATATATATTTATATATATATGTAAGTATGTATATGTATGTGTGTGTTTGTTAGCTTGTGTGCGTAAAAGAAAAATTAAAATGGAATAAAGAGCGCCAAAGCCAAGCCCCAAACACACACATATGTACATATATATACACATATATAATATATATATGAACGTATAAAAATATATATATATATATATAACTACGCATTGCCCATCAGGAAACAGCCTAGGAACCAGTGTGGTGGAATTCGTACACAGGAAAACAAACACGAAAAACGAAGCGACGGAGAACGGTTAACTTTTTATCTTCTTCTGTATTTTTCTTCTTTCGTTTCATTTTGATTATTGATTTTACTTTGTTTTCGACAAAACAAAAAAAATATGTAAAAAAAATATATAATCCATGCATGGATGTGTGTTTGTTTGTTAATTTGTTTGTGTGTTGTCGAAAACAAAGTAAAATCAATAATCAAAATGAAACGAAAGAAGAAAAATACAGAAGAAGATAAAAAGTTAACCGTTCTCCGTCGCTTCGTTTTTCGTGTTTGTTTTCCTGTGTACGTTTTTGTCTGATATTTTCCAAGAATCGTTGCGAGATTAAAAATGCAAATTCGAATAACCCGTATGCATATCTCGACAAATAATAATCAAAAACAACAACAACAATACATGTATATATATATTTATTTATATATGTATTATGCATGTATATATGTATGTAAATAAAAAATATCAAATACAATATGTATAAACCTTAA